GAGACGGTGAAGCCAAATTAATTGGCATCACACTTCAGTAATAGAACAAATTTATTACAAAGGCAATGAAAAGAACATCCCGCTAGGGGCAAGCACAGAATGGCCGAGTCACATGAGGACTAAAAGACGCATCATAATGAAAGCCAAATATGATGATTGAGCCCGTTGTCTAATAGAATCAAGTAAGCTAGGGAGGGAAGGCTACCTTGAGGGTGTGTGCCTTGTCTTGACCGCATTATGCTTTTAGCTATCTATGAAAAGAAGAATTACTCTTTTTTTATGCTTAGAGGCTGGGGTCGTATTAAGAGAAGAAAAATATGGCCTGCTGGGTAGTGCAAAAATGAAAGAAAAAAATTCTATTTTTGTGGCCAAGTGTGGGAAGAACTAAAACAAAAGGGTCACCAGAAAGTTAGCGTAATTGGTCGGTTGGGGAAGGGTCTCCTACTATGAGTTGGAAAACGAATTGATTTCCTTTGTCAGTGAGGCTGCAAAAGTCGAGTACGACACATAGGGGTACATGACTCGCAAATTTCCCCTTACCTGGGATCCCGGCCGGGTGGCTCCGAAAAGGAAAAACAATATATCAAAGGAATGGTTTTCGGCTTTCGCGACCTGTTGAAGCTAAGCCAAAGGGATGAAGTTAATTGGCCAAGGATAAACTTTGCATTGGCATGGCCATCCACTGGTGACCATTGAAAATTGGTGGCCTTCTCGATCAATGGAAGACAAGAAAGCTATTGATTAATTGTTTGGCCTCGTGGACTTGTGCGTAGAGGAGAAAGGCTCTATGGCTAGTTAACAATAAAAAGGGACCACTTTGATAGTAGTTTACTACTACAATAAAGATATTGGTCACATAAGAAGGGAATAGGTTAGGGTGGTTACTCAATTTTGAGTAATCACGGTGGCTACCAACATCTATACCATTCATTATCATTATTTTATTATGATTTTAAATTAATGGTTAAGATTAGCTAAGGGTAATTTAGGAAATGAAAAATATACCACACCTGATTACTGTATATATTTTACTCAAACCCTAATACCTAGCCGTCGTCTCCTCCCTCCTCTCCCTGTCGCTCCCACTCTCGATCAACCTCCGCCTCGTCGGCTCTGCCTTCCCGGCCGACTCCGAGGCCATCCTCTCTTCCTTCTTCTCCTCCACCCACACCTCCGACCACTTCCACGTCATAACCACTGATCCCGTCCCACCTCACAACGGCTCCCACCGCCTCGCCTCGACGTCTCGCACTCCCCGCCTTCCCTCGCTTCCCGACTCTTCGACGCCATCAAATCCGGCTGCCAATCCTTCCGTAGTACGTACTTCCCGCTTTGGACCCAATTCTTCTCTCCCGGCCAATGGATCCCCAACCCCAACTGAGGAGCAGCAACAATGGATTCCCCACCAGGACTTCCCTTGCAATGGAGAGAACCGGCCAACGGATCTTCTCTCAGGATATCCCTACGGACGTTCTCGTCGAAGTCGTGGATGATCTAGGTTCTAGGTTGTTTGGAATGGTAGGTTCTTCCCATGCATTGGTAGTAATCTGCAGACCTATAAAGTTTGGTGTGGAATTGAAGTTTTTAGTTGGAATGGTAGATTTCATGTTGTTTGGAATGGTAGCTTCTTTTCATGAATTGTTAGTGATCTGCAGAATTGTGATGTTTGGTGTGGAATGATAGTGTTTAGTTGGAATGGTAGGTTTTTTTCTCTCATTGGTAGTGACCTGCATACCTGTGACGTTTGGTGTGGAATGGTAGTGTTCAGTTCCAGTAGTAGTAGTGATTACCTTTCCATACATCACTAACATTGGTTAATGTTGCTACCTTCCATTTTTTGGTTTTAGTAATGGCAAGAACCAAGAACCCAAATCGTGGGGCTTCAAAGAGCAAGAAACAATGAATAACTACCATTGCAGTAGGTCATATTATCAGAAACGAAACACTACCGTTATAGTATCTGATAACTACCATTGCAATTACTAATCACTACCATAGCAGAATTCTTTTCCTGCCGTAATTTTTGGTATAACAAAATCCTACTGTGATTAAAACTCCATATATTTAATTTTGGTAATTATCTCTCCTCTCTCTAATTAATTGCATTATTAAAATGGTATTGATAATAACTAGGATGCAAAATACCCCTATTATCCCTAATAACCACCGTGGATACTAAAACTTGGTATCCACCATAACCCCTCCCCATAAGAAGGGTTTAAATAGTTAAATGGTTTTTTTTTTGTGTTCAACACCAAATTGTGGCTAAGAAAGTGGCCACGGGTGTTTTGATTATTAGGAGTTACTGTGGGCTTCAACAACTTAGTGCACAATTCTTATACACTAAGTAGTGGGGCATTTGTTTACCTAAAAAAAATCAGCTTGTACCACATCAATTAATTACAAGAAATTCAATGGATTTATAAGGCCAGTTCAACATTAATAATTAAAAGAAATGGCTAGTCCTTGTTGGGTTGAGTTTTTGGGGCTAAGTGGTCAAACCCCTTCTTCTCTATACGATGGCCGACCCGTCTCCGGGGCACCCATAGCCAGACGATGCCTCCACCCCTTGGTATGAAATTTGGCTCCCAAAAACTAAGTGTGAAAACAAGGCGACACAACGAGGTGTCAAACGACCGGGTACCAAGGTAGATACCAAATAGGAGGCCATCCATAAACTAAGGAAACAAGGCGGCACAACGGGGGTGCCAAACAACCGGTACCAAGGCGGGTACCAAATAGGAGGCCATCCAAAAACTAAGTATGGAAACAAGGCCACAACGGGGTACCAAGCCAAGGGGTACCAAGCCGGCAAGACAGGGCTGGTAGCCAAGTATGGAAATTGGCTAAGTATGGAATCCAATGACCAGGGGGCCATAATGGGTGGTCCCGACAAGGCAGGGCTTGGTATCAAGACATGAAAATCATGAATTTGGCTAAGTATAGAGCCAAAGGGGTATCAAGCCGACAAGGCATGCTTGATACCAAAATGTATAGAATTTGGCTAAGTATAGAGCCAAAGAGGGTACCATGCCGACAAGGAGGCTTGGTACAAAGATATGGAATTTGGCTAAGTATGGAGCCAAAGGAATATCAAGTCGGCAAGAGAGGCTTGGTAACCAAGCAAGGCAACAGGGCACCATGACCCAAGGGGGTATGAAGCCGACAAGACGGACTTGGTGGCCAGGCAACAGGGGGCCAAGTCAGTTACCAACTAAGAGAGTCATAAAGAAACTAAGTTTGGATATCAAGCCTGACATCAGGGCATCAAACCAACAAGACAAGAAATTTGACTAAGGCAAGGTAGCTAGCTGAGGTGGCCACCCAACTAGGTATCAAACAACCATGGATGAATCGGCCAGGATGCCGAGCTGAGAGTGTCAATATGATGAGGACTCGTAGAGCACCTTATGGGGCCATATGGAGACTAAATCCCAAGATGGGCTTGGTGGCCCCTAACGAGAACCAAGCCGGCAGGGTGCAAGGTACCAACTTGATAAGATTGTAGAAACTAAGTATGGAGACCAAGTCAGCAGAACTGGCTTGGTAGCAAGGGTATCAAGCCGACAAGATTAGCTTGATACCAAGATGACAACTTGATGCAATGACAGTCACTCTAAGACTAATTGTGGAGACTTGGGGGTAAAGGGGCTAAATTCTTGTCCTGTCTAGGTGGGTCATATGGCCTAGCTATCAAGACTGTTCATCGAGGTGGCTAGCAAGACGAGGAGTGTGGAGTCGTCAGAGCTGTCGAGGATGTGATCAAAACTTCGTCATGGAGGCTAAGGCAAAGAGGCTCAACACCAACCCGGCCCGGCATCGAGACCATCAAGTACCTCCCAGCCCCAAGGAGGGACAAGGGCCCCCAAGGCGAGGTTACCAACTAGTCACCAAGGCGGGACAAGGGACCCTGAGGCGGTTTGGAGCAAGAGGCCAGCTAGCAGTTACTACGGCTGTTACCAAGGCAGTTACACCCGGTGGCTATAAATAGGAGAAACGAAGACAGGAAAAAGGGTTCCACAACCAAACATTTGACGCACAATGTCAAACTTTTATCCTTTCTCTGTAAATTAGCCATAGCCTTAGTTTTCGGAGCTCTCGTTGAACCTCCATAGGAGTAGTAATAATTAATATAGCTTGTTCCCAAAAAACCATCAAAAACATCAAACACCCTCGTTCGAACATTGTTCGGAGAGGTGTGAACAGTGTTTAGAATCGTTGTTCAAGAAGTCAAGGTGCATTTATTGGAATCAAACACTAGATTTTCCTCGTCGGAACACAAATTGGCACATTGGTGGGACCACTGTGTGTTTGATTTGATGGCTCCTAGGAGAAAGAATCAAGAAGGTGGTCTTCCACAAGGTGCTGTGGAGGAGGAGGAAGTGGCCGGTGGTAAAGCAGGCTAAGTCGGAGGAGCTTCAGGCAACCTTGCCGGAGCGGAGGTGCCACTCACGTCGGCGCCATTAGACCATCTTTCTTCTTCGGCTGTCTAGTGGTTGCTTTCAAAAAAAAAAAATTCCAAGCCCATACTACATTATGAAAAATGTGCTATGTGAATCACCACTATTAATCCATAACTTTCTAGAGTTTTGCCTTCAAAATTGTTCATCGACTTATTACAGTGTTAGAAGTTGGATCGAACACCCCGCGCCCCTTATTCTAAAGTTGCTTGAGCTATCTACACTCTCATGAATATCTAAACAATGTAATATGTTAAGCTTCTTTAGCCTTTCCCGACTCACTTTAACTTGTAGTACAAGCAATACATTGCAATTCCTCTAACATCACTATACCAACTCTGAGTCACTAGCTACTGATAGCTAGGATGCAGCTTCCAAAAGGTAAAATACTTGAAAGATCGAGACAGATTTCGAAGTTGAGAGTGTGTGGATAAGAATTCCACAAGGATTTGACAACCCTAAGAGAAACACCTTTACTATACTTCTTTGGAGTCATTGAATTCACTATAAATTTACCATTGCATGGTCCAATTTTGACAAAATACACTTGTATAGCCAAAACATTCGCGTTTGCGCAAATAATAGGCAAATTTGGGGAAATCCCACTTATAGCCAGCTTTTAAATTTGTTGTATGCCAAATATAGTCATTTCCATTAGATACTTTAACAGTATTATTAACACCATCAACTTATTTAACAGTTCGCTGACTAGACTTTTACTCAATGAACACGTCAGCGCCACATAAGCCGTCATAATTTATATTTATTTAATGATTACACATCATAAATTAATAAAAAAATTTACTTTAATTTCCCCCAATTTCTTCATCACCATGTCGCCTATCTTCTCTCATCCTAGATCTCCGATTTCCCGAAGCTTCCAAAATCAAAACAAGCAATCAAAATCGACCTTTAGCTTCCCAAAATCAAAACAATCAATCAAACACGTCACCGCCACTTGCAGTCGGACCCAATTCACCACCACCGATTTAGCTTTCCCGACGATAACATTTTAGGGTCCATGGTTTCTTGATCTGCGATCGACTAGTGCTCGACGGCAACAACAAGATCTGGATATTCTGAAGGTTGTGTCGATGGAGCTCTAGTTTTGATTTCTCTAATACACTGGGGTTGAAGATGCAGAGAGGAGGGACAGACAAAATATGTCATTCCGCAGCAGGTCGCCGATTGAACTTAGCTGGTTCTCTTTCGTGTTTTTTTTTCTTTTCACTAAACAAGGTGGTCACCCATAACGCCCGGATTAGATCTGGGAATGAGAAATTTTTGGAGATTTGGAATAGATCTGGAACGATTGCATAGCTGGCAGTGGGTGGAGATAGGGAACACGATGGAGATGAGCGACGACTGGGGACGAAAGGGATGGTTGTCGGTCAGGTACGACGAGAATGCAAGCGGCGGCCGGTGCGGGAGCTAGTGGACAGGGAAGGGTTTATGACTAGAAGAGGCAAAAGAAGAAGACGACATCGTCGACGAGACGGAGAACTTCTGCTACTCCTCTAGAGCTTACGGGGAGCGAGAACGAGGAAGGGAAGCGGTTGCGGCAGGCCGAGGAGGGCAGCGGGAGGGCGAACCCGAGTACTAAATCGGCGCAAATTATCTTCCCCAAATCCTCTGATTTCCAATTTGAGGGGTTTTTTACCTTTTTAATTCAATTTTGTAGAGAAGGAAAGGGGAAATAAGTTTTGTACTTCATTTTCAATTTGAAGGGGTTTTTTTAATTTATGGTTAATTTTTTCTAATTAATTATCATCCACGTGGACAATTACAGAGTAAAAGGGATATAAGAATTCGCCACGTAAGCATCTCCGTTTGTCCCGTCACACTCAACGCTAACACTATTAAAGAATTTAGACGAAAATGGCTATAAGTGGTATTTTTCCAAATTTGACTACTATTGGCACAAATGCGAAAGTTTTGGTTGTACGTGTATATTGGGGTGAAAATCACCATTGGTCACTATACTTACTTAATTAATTTATGTTTTCCTCTAGACTCATTTTTAATTCAACTAAACCACTAAACTCAATTTAAAACTCACCGTCCATCACTTTCTGTTACAACTTAACGGAAAGTCATATTAACGGTGCTGACAAAGCACTAACGATGGTGACGTGGCGACACCTATCCCTATTATTCCACATAGTTATATTCATTAACAAAACTCTACCAAACAAGAATCTGAAACTCTAATTGTTTGGGTTAATTACATAAATATTGTTATTTTTAATTCACCACAAATAAGGCGGATTAGAAAGTATTGACACAGATATTGTGTATTTGTTTAGGGTTAGAGGCAGGGCTGCCAGAAACTAAGGCGGGGCCACATTTTGAAAAAATAAAAAGAGTCACAGGCGATGGCGCCGTAGTCTGCAGCGCCCCCGCCTCCACTACTCCTTTTCGTTTTTAAAACCAGGCAGCCGAACCTCCCTCCTCTTATCTTCTTCTTATTCTCCTCCCCCCTCCCCATGACCACACACCCACCAACCGCCGCCTCACCCGAACCAGAGACTGCGCCGCCATTTTTTTAAATACCTGGCGGGTTTTTTGGCATTTTTTTTAATTAATGTTTTTGTTGCTTTTGCAGTTCCTAGGCTTATGGATCCTTATTCGATGAGACTACCGCCCGCGACAATTGATCCAGCTCTGGTCGATCCTGTACTTCTTTGGGGACGTGGCCAACATCGTATCGACTCGGTTTGGGCAAACGAGGTAAGTATTTGATAATTATTCATGTAAAGTTAATTAGCTAGTTAGATTAGATTATTTTAGTTGGTGAAATTAACTGTACATAAATTAGAATAGAATTACGTATCAAATTGAAATTAGCTAGATTAGAATTTACTAGGTGAAATTAGAATTATTACGAATGAAATTGAATTAATATAAGTTTTGTGCACTATAGGCTGGTGATCGATCTTATCATTTTTGAGGTACGACCATGTTAGTCACGTACCATGAGCGTTATCAGCCATATCTCGGAGCGGCTGGCTTGTCTAGTGTTGTGCCCCTGGTCCCTATGAACTCTGATGCGAGTTTGATTACTGCGCTCGTAGAGCGGTGGCGACCCGAGACGTCGACCTTTCATTTATCGTTTGGTGAGGTCACGATCACGTTAGAGGATGTTGTGACACTATACGGTCTGGCGATCGACGGTGATGTCGTCGTAGTTGACATACCGGATGAGGATTGGCCGACGATCTATTTGAAACTGTTAGGACGGATTCTAGATGATCTTTCAGGCGGTGTTGTTAGGATTGTTTGGCTAAGGGAGGAACTCAGTCATCTACCGGCAAATGCATCTCAGGAGGTTACAGAGCAGTTTGCATGAGCTTATTCTCTATCTCTGATGGGAGGTGTACTGTTCCCGGATCGCTCTAGAGCTACAATACACCGACAGTACCTACTTGTGATTGAGGATTGGTAGAGAGATGGACGGTTCGCCTGAGGAGCAGCTGTTCTATCCTACCTGTACCGTGAGATGGGTAGGTCGGCTTTGCACATTACGCATTCCTCCACTTCTCTAGGAGGTGACCTTGGTGGATGGGTCGCCCTACTGCAGCTCTGGGCGTGGGAGCGATTCCCACATCTGACACCGCGACATTCAGAGACGAGGGCGCAGATTGCCGAGGATGCATCCCCACGTGGTCTTTGATGGCTTGCGGCCAGCACTCGTCAGTATGGTGACCAGTTATTCCAGTACAAGTTGTGGTTTGACGAGATGGAAATCATGGTGGTTAGTATATAATATTTCATTTTATAGAATAGATTTCATTTGTTTGTTTTAGATTTAGGGATAATAACTTGACCAATTTTTTTTGTGTAGTGGCAACCTTACGTTGAGAGAGCAGTTCATCTCAGAGGTAGTGTGATACATTCTGAGACATTTTGAGCAGTACTACCACTGATCTGCTTTTCAGCGGTGATGTGGCACCATCCAGACCGCGTGCTCTGGCAGTTTGGCATGAGGCAGCATGAGCCTCAACAGCCACATCCTGAGGCTGAGGTTAGGTTTTTTCTACGTCAGACTTTGTGGGCCATCGCGTGGCCGACAGTTGGTACACGCCTCCAGAGAGTCGCTTGCTTTATGGAACCGTCGACATGAGTTCATAGCAACGGCTCCATATAGTATTGAGGTTTTAGCCTACCACTCGGAGCATATGGAGTGGTATCGAGATGTCACCAGACATTTAGGCCCACAAAGAGGAGCTGCAGTGGAGGCATTGGTTAGTTATCTTTTGTTTAATATTTATTTTGTATTTGTCTTGAATTTCTTAACTGTGTGAAATTTCTGACATTTCAATTTAAATTTTAGTACGACACTTTGGAGCATGTTGAGATGAGTTTACATGAAGGAGTACGGGCTAGAGGGATGTCCACCGACCAGTGTGAGCAGTTGGCCAACATGATGGCATCAGGGGTTGCTACTTTAGGTTTGGAGCGGTGCAGACACCCTGATCTCACAGTACCTGTACAGCCAGCTTATGATCAGCCAGTCATGGCTGCCTGGCCAGAGCGTACTGATCCGGCATCGGACTGGGTCGTCCCGAAGCCACAGTTCATACATGAGCGTAGGCCCTGTAGGCAGCGACGTGAGCATCGTGATGTACCTAACCCAGTCCGAATTTCAGATTGACAAGATCACAGCCTGTCCGGCCTACTACGACCTTCCAGTTTAATCTGTTGTTTCATCCAGGAACGTATTCGGGACATTGGAGCGGTGCTACTTCTTCAGGATTTCAGGCAGGACCGCATTCAGCCTTTCAGCCTCCTCCTCAGCCGCAGTTTCAATCAGATCCTTCTTCGAGCTTTCAGCCTCCGCCTCAGCCGCAGTTTTAGTCAGATCCTTCTTCGAGCTTCCATCCACCAGAGGATAGCTTCCATACACCGCACCATGCTACGAGGGGAGGCGGATACATGACCTCAGGTGGTGATACTATAGTAGCCTCGTCTCCCAACCCATGGGACGCTCTAGAGGGTGATGCGACCTTTCAGGAGACGATGTGGAATTATGAGCAGCATCTTCAGTCTCAGCAACATGGTGGGGGTGTACATCAAGAGCAGATTCAGTCTCAGCAAGATGATATGTTCGGTACACAGGATCAGGATGGTGGTGTCGAGGGAGCTAGCCCCAGGAGTATGATGGTAGGCCTCCACGTAACAGGGTGCCTGCGAGGTGTGGTACTGGCGGCTATCTAGTGGTGGAGCATGGTGGCCGTCGTGGTGTCGTTAATGAGACTATTATTTTTGTTATGTTATTATTATGACCTTCTTTGGGACAATTATGTGGACTATTATGTGGACTATTTTTAATTTCATGTATTATGTTATTAACGATAAATACTCGGAACAACTGGTAACAAACAACAACTTGGACATTTTATAATTTGGCCAACAACAACAAACTACGCATGGAAATACAACCACTACTTCAAACCATAACAACTATATGAAAAACAACAACAAATACATTTGATAAAAATTCGACCAAACTACATATCACGTCTATTACCACTACTTCCTCTTCCACCACCTCTCCCACGTCGTTGGCCAACACTTCCTCTTCGCTGGCTCCCACTCCCACTTGCTTGGCCACCACAAGCTGATGCATTATGGCCACTTTGGGTACAGTTGCTACACACTGTTTGAGATACACCCTCTCTTGGCCAATCCATCTCGTTGTGAATTCTTGTAACTCGTGGCCTCCCTGCTTCCTAATCATGTGCACATTAGGATGGAGAATAGGACCATTATGCTTCTTCCAACCCTTATGTTCACCAAGAGATGTGAAACTTGTCCCATAACAACACAGCAGTATTTCCAGCTTGTAGACATCGTACACAAACCTATACGGATTAGCCCCCCATTCGGTTGCTAGTTGCAATGGCATGAGAGCAAGGAATTTTATTTCCTTGAAATTTCCCACAGGTGCAAAATCATGCCCGGTTGCGGTCGTCAAAGTGCACTGTGAATGTGTTTCACCCCGTCATGTTCAAATTGTTGGGACGAGTCTGAACTACATAGATGCCTTAACGTCGATCAATCGCTGTCACGGAATGTCCAACTGCCTTTTGTGACCAATGTAGTTAAAATCCCGATTTTAATCTTAAAATCTTATGATTTTACGATCTTACCTATGGGTTCCGATCATGATTTTATTGTAAAATCTTTGAACCTTAAAATCCCATAAAATCCCGATTTAAAACTCTAAATCCTTAAAATCTACGATTTCTACGATTTTGTACGATTTCAAGGTTCACATCAATTGGAGCAAAATGAGGCTGGTCAAGTCCGATTCTGTCCATAAACCAAGTCAAGTTTACTTCTCACGACCCAACATAATGAACAACGCAACCCTAACCCAATAGACAACACTCAATTTATTTTCATTCTCTTCCTCGTATCTTCCTCTTTCGCACGTCGACGCCCAACTCCTTCCTTCAACGATATCTTCCACTCTCCCAATTAGCTTGTAGGTTTTTCCCACCACCCTCACAAAAATCCAAATCTCCATTCCATTGCAATTTTTTGTTCATCTCTCAATCCTTCAGTAGCACTATCCCCGACCTTTTATCAATTAAGAAGGGAATGCACCAATCAATGAGTTATCTTTGTGATCAAGGAAATATGGTTAATGGTGAAAGTATTTCAAGTGATCTTAAGGGTAATTATATTAGTCCTTAAGCAAATAGACAAG